AAACACAGAGACGAGCCGATCAGGAGGTGCAAACACTCGAGCTTTATTCAGAGGCCATCGCGGCAAGGCCAAGCAGGAAGGCCAGAGCAAGAGAGCAGGAGCAAAAGAGAGGGAGCTCCGACCACTACTGTCCCTTAAGTACCTTCTTAGCCCCTCCTTCTCAGCCCACCTACTAGTCATTGATTGTAGGGTCAGATACCGGAAGGGGATGTCTGGGGTTAGTGTTGCACCAAGGGAGAGGACGTGACGCAGGAGGCTAGGACCGGATACAGGAAGGAGGCGTCTGGGGTCAGTGCTACACAAAGGGAAAGTATGTGACCCAGGAAGTCAGGAAGGAGACGTCTGGGGTTGACGTTGCACCTAGGGAGAGGACTAGACAAAGGGAACTCGTTGTCTGCTGTCCCACTCCCACGTGGCACAGCCCCCTGCCTCAGGAGCAGGTGCTCGGCTACTTCCTTGTATCCTGTTCCTTCCCCAGCTTATCACAGCTCCACATAGCACTGCCCACTGCCTCGGGAGCGTGAGCTCCGGTTACTTCCTAATATCTTGTTCCTACCCCATCTTGCCACAATCCTTACTTGGCAGTAGGCAACACCAGACAATTCCTCACAAGTTGTGATATATGAATGTAATGGAATACTATTATTCCATAAGAAATGATGTGCAGGCAGATTTCAGAAAAACCTGGAAAGGCTTATATGAACTGATGCTGAGTAAAGTGAGCAGAACTAGGAGAACATTGTGTGATGATCAATTATCATAGACTTAGCTCTTCTCGGCAGTGCAAGGATCTAAGACAACTCCAAGACTCATGATGGAAAACACTATTCACAACCAGAAAAAGAAATACGAAGTCTGAGTGCAAATCAAAGCATACTATTTGTTCTCTTTCTTTTTTTTTTTTGGTTTCTTCTTTTTCATGGTTTCTCCCATTTGTTCTCATTCTTCTTTACAACATTACTAATGTGAAAATATGTTTAATATGAATGTATATGTAGAGCCTATATCAGATTGCATGCTGTCTTGGGGAGGGGGGAGAGAAAGGAAGGGGAGAAAATTAAAAACTCAAAAGCTTATAGAAGTGAATGTTGAAAACTAAAAATTAATTAATTAATTAAAAATTTTATAAAAGAGAGAGATTTTTCCTAGCACACGCCTTTGAACTTATGCTGCCTTCTGTAACAAACATAAAAGATGGCCAGTATGTGCATTTTAATGAGTGCTAGATCCAATGTCAGAGGACCTGGTTTGAATCCTGGGTCTGCCACTTACTACCTATGTGACCTTTGCAAAAGTATAAACAAGTTCATTTCATTTGGAAAAAAAAAAGGAATAAGCCATTTAAGGAAAAACAATATAGCTTTGTGGGGGGAATGGGAGGCACTAGCAGCTGGGGGGATTAATGTAGGCCTCTGGTAGGAGATGGTGCTGGAGCTGAGCTTGGAAGGCAATTAGGGATTCTTAGAGGCAAAAGTGAGCAGGGAGGGCATTCTAGGGACGGGGGCCAGCCTTTGCAAGAGCACAGAGATGGGAGATACACTGCTATTTCCTGCTGTAAGGAATGGCAAGAAAAACAGTTTGGCTGGACCAAATGGCTAATGGGAATAATGGCTAATGAGCCCAGACAGGTAGGCTGGAGCCATCATGAAGGCCTTTAACCAGTTAAGTTGTGAAGACATTTAGGGCTGCTGCTACACGTGCAAGGAATTCTTACACATCTGGAGCATGAAGCCAAGGTCCCCACGTGTCCTTCCCACGACCTTCTTCTGAAGGTAAAGTTCACCATTCAGTATTGCTACTGGCCTCCATCTCCAAAAAACATTTACTTGGTTTTGGAACCTGCAGCCCCTGTAACCACACTCTAGCTCCATACCCCCTTACAGCCCACCCTTGTCTTCTCTCCCATCCTACCATTCCTGTTAGGAAAACACTCTGCTACTAGTGAACCAGCTCGTGTACTAGTTAATTGTCTTTATCAGCCCTTGATGTCTATATAACAAGAACAAAGCCCCAGGGTGAGGCAGGTGGGGGTGCTGATAAGATGAAAGAAGGCAGGCCTGGGAGAGTGCCTAGGCCCTGAGGGATTTGAGGGTAATGAAAGCTATATTTCCCAAACCATAGTGAATGTGGCTGTGAGTAAGTTATATGTCGTCTGGATCTCCCTGGAGTATCAGAAAGCATCAGGCTTGGAGCCTGGCCAGAGGTTCACCTCTGCAGACCAAGGCAGTCTCTGAAAGGGTCTTCCGCAGAGCAGTATCAGCCATAGCAAAGGCAGACTAGCTCAGACACTATTCAATTTGAAGTAGAAATGCAAAGGCCTGGAGGGGAAAATATTTATTTTTTCTTCCCTGAGGACTTCTTTTAGGCTTTTATTCCCTGAAAAGCCTTTTGTTGTTGTTTTCTCCTCTGAAACTTTCCAAAACTTTATATTTCAAAATATAGCCAACATTATGTTTTTTATGAGCAAATCAAGTTATGTATGATATATCGCTATGTCCCTAAACTAATAAAATTACTTTGAAAAGACTTGGAGTAGGGGCCTGGCAATGGACTGTTGTTCAAAACCAGCCTGGTTAAGTGTGGACAGGCTCATCTCATTATCAAAACGTTGGACACAAAGTGATTGATTTTCTGGCCACAGCAACCATGAAATGAGTAAACAAATTATATATATGTTTTTTAAGTTATATGTTGTCTGGAATGGAACACTGCCTGTGTAATTATAATGACTGAGTTTGAGCTTAGAGGAGAAATGAGAAAATGCATCTCCCTCCCTCCCTTCCTCCACAAGTTAGGGGACTATGGGTATAGAACATCGAATATGCCATCAGTCTTGGTTGATTGACTGAACAGCTCTTTTTCTTTTTTATTCTTTGTTATAAAGGACAGTTCACTGGGCAGGAGGGGGTTGGATAGAGGTAGAGTTAAAAATGTGATACAAAAACCAAAAGATAAGACTACTTTAAAAAATACATTTTGCCATCATTTTCTAGGTGTGTGAAAGTGTCATCTACTCTAGAAACCGTCCTATAGATACCCTAGGAAATCCCACGAATGCAGTTATGAAGTCAGGAAGCAGCCATTTATTACTCCTCAGGTCTCACTAAGTCCTTAGGTGAGTAAATTCTTGCCAGGGTGTCTTTGCATGCATCTGTCAAACAGCAAAGGGGCAGCCAGGTAGTGCAGTGGATAGAGCACTGGGCTGGAGTCAGGAAGACTCATCAAACCTGACCTGTATGACCCCCGAACAAGTCATTTCGCCCCGTTTGCCTCAGTTTCCTCATCTGTAAAATAAGCTGGAGAAGGAAATGGCAAATCACTCCAGTATCTCTGTCAAGAAAACCCCAGATGGGGTCACGAAGAGTTGGACATGACTGAAAGGACCGACGAACCACAAATCAATCAACCGGCATTTAGTAAGTGCCTACTGCATGCCAGATACTGTGCTCAGTGCTGGGGATACAAAGACAAAAATGAAAGTCCCTTCTTTTAAGATGCTTATGTGATCTCAAGGAGCTTATTTATTCCATGTGTCCATCCCCCAAGGAGGTAAGTCCAAGAGTTTGAGTGTTGGTTCAGGTTCAAGAAAGAGGATTCTGATTGAAATTCTAGAAGGCCCTTGCTTTTGTCACAGGGACTTGCCCTCCATCCAACCTCTCTCATGCTACTCTAGCCTATTCCTTGGGCTTGTCCTAATTTAGCCCAGTAGAGAGCACTGGGTGATATTAGTCACCCTGACCAGCTTCTTAACAGCTTAAGACTAGAGCATCTGTGAGACAATAACCTAAGGGGAAAGTAGAATGACATAGTGGAGACAACGGGGGCAGATATGAACTTGATGTAAGGAAAACCATCCCAAACAATG